GGCCATACAATTTGTTTTTTCACATCAAATAGAGTTTCCAATCTAAGCGTGTGTTGTTTGTTGTGTTGTGTGCTGTGTTTGAAGCTGTATGTATGTATATGATCATACATTGAGAATTGAGAAAAAAGTGAGCTGGAAATATTTCAAGGTTTAAGCTTAAAATCTGAGACGCCGATCAAGCTCATTTAAACCACCTTTGCATGCATCAACCATGACCTTGAACTTGGCCATATCTCAACTTGCCTAACATGTATCACATACATATGTGTATGTACATAAATACATATGTACGTATGTATGAACAAATTGAAACACGAATGCAGGTTCGATTAAAAAACACTACCCGTATGTATATCTAATAATCGCGATGTTCTATGTATAAATCATTGAATTAGAAATGGAAACAACACGAGACATTGAATAGCGAGCGAAGGCAATGAAATTGTAGCGCGCTCGGCCATTTCAATTTCTTTCTATTTATTGATTCCCAGCCGGTTATTTGTGTATAACTATGAATACACTGACTTAACCAGTTAGTCCAACAAAATATTAAATTCGACATCACATTTTTTTTTTTTCAAATACATACATACATTCATATGTATGTATGCATGTATGCAGGTACATATGGACAGCAAAAGAGTACATATGTATGTTAGAAACACTGTAGCAATAAATACATACATAAATAAAAGCAATTATCAAAAAAATCCAACCCATTTTCGATCCCTTTGTATGTACTACAATATTGAAAACTTTAAACGACACTTTTAGGAGCGATTTCTTAATGCTGCAATGGCGATTTTGAAGTTTGCATATACATATGTACGTACATTTTAAACATAATGCTTACCAACAAATCATTGAGAAATCGACCCTTAAACATAAGAACTCTACAACTAGTATTTATAAAATTAAAACTACTTACACTTTGCGTTGAACAGCAGACGATTTCTTTTTTGTCGCAACCACATAGTTGGTGGTCGTTTGGTACATCCGCGCGGCCCAGTTGCCTGTATAATAGCGCCATTTGGGATTTACTTAGCTTCTTCGGGGAATGAACCCCGCCAACACAGAGCTCCAGTGCTCTCCAAAACTTAAATAACGGCAAAAACATTTACGCGAATAACTTTTTTTTAGACATTTGTATATGTCTCCAGAATTGAGCACTGAATGTTTTCAATATTGGCAAGACTTATACTTTACTAAAGAAAACATGGTGAATTTCAAAAAAAAATAAAAAATATGTACGTTAAAGACACACTATTATCGGAAAAATCCTTCCATAGCCATGGATACAAAGTTCCCGTAGCAATTCGTGCTTGCACGCTAAACTCAAAGGCCCTTAGATATAAATTAATTAAAATTGCAGAAACTTAAAGAAGGGCTCATAGTCGTGTGCATTTCGAAACATCGTAAGTAGGGATTCCTTTGTAAATGATCATTTTATTAAACTCACAACGGCAAGTGTCTGACATAATTTTCTCTGAAACATTCACCAGCCTAGCACTCAAATAGCATGTGGAATATGGGAATGTTTTGGGAATAGGGAAGTAGGAAAGTAGGAGAGGTTTTTGAAAAGTACGGCAACTATGTATGTATATGTATTTATGTATATCTAATGTTATTAAAGATAATCATGAGGGTGATGCAATTGATAAAGAAACTTAATTCAATATTTCATTGATACACAAAATATATATTCCTCGTCCAACCGATACCGTTGCACAAGGGATACCTACCTGAACAACGCGACAGCTAGAACATATTCATCGTAATGTTGACAACATCAATGGCATGAAACTCATAGTACCTCGCTGCCACACCCTATACACAGTGATGGCAGCTACATGTTTCAGCCAATCGCCACCGCAGCCATTTGGTCCAAAGCAAAATTTTTGTTCCATTCCGTTTAGGAGTTTCCGTCCCAGTTGATTCTTCATTTCTCACTAATCACTTCAAATATTTTGCACTTTATACGCCCGATCGAAAATATACATATGTATACACTTCTTCGAACCACTTTCTTAACGGGAAGAAGGTCGCACATTTCCGAAATCGCGGACAATAGACGAACAAGGACACGGAGAAAATTTCTTAAACCTAAAGCATTGCTTCGCACTTACTGCGATCGCAATACTGTCCGCCGACCGCCCCCGTCCCCCCTTCTTTTATTGCCTAAAAATTCTTTAAATTTTCAATGATAATAAAAAAAAAAAAATCAGACCCGTCAACCAACAAAAATGAGGAAAACCAAAAATTAATAAAAAAAAAAAAATATTTTTTAAATTAAAACCTAAACTAACTACAGTTTGTAATTATTTTAAGATCCATTGCCAGGGATATCATACATATGTACTAATATTCAGGAAGAGTTGCATGCGTATTCTTATTCACTCTTCGTCGCCATACAGCGTGGTGGCATTAGTGTAAATTTATACAAAAAACATAGAAATATAAACATAATTTGTATAGTATATACGGAAGTCGTACACCATGTTGCATATATGCACATACATATATACATATGTATGTATGTAGTATGTATGCCAAAATTTACACTAGCATAAACAAGAACATATAAGTAGCCGCTTTCGATTCGAACTTATGTGCCCGCTTTAGGTCGGCTGGCTCTGCTCACTTAACGAAAAATTGGCATGGCAAAGCAACACAACAAAGATAGCGAGCAAAGAAGAACAACAGGGCTATTCGCGATTCGGTGCATAAGAGCTGACAAATTTATGCAATTGCAGAAATATGCCATGGATTGTGAGCGACCTTTATTAAACTGTCATGGTAAAGCTTTTGCAAAACAATTTTTGTGCATCAGCTTTGGTTTTGTTTATGAATGCAATGCATAGCATTTTTATGCTATGGATTTTCGGTATTGCAAATTTGCCAAGCCATGACAAATGCAAATGCGTGTATTTTGTTTGTGTATTGCAAATAATTTGCAATACAAATTTGCAATGCAATGATGCTAGGCCATTTGCACCGGATCGCGAATAGCCCTAACGTATTCGTAGACAACTCGCTTAGCAAATGTTGGAGGAGCATACTTAAAGAAATATTACTCACACTTACATACATACATACATACATACATATATATGTATGTACATTGAGGTGGTCTCTGTTCGCTATCTTTGTTGTTGGACATTGCACATTGCATTTTTGTTTAAATGACTTACTCCCTAAAGCTCCCAGAATTTGAATTGTACCATTTTTTTTTTTTTCGTTTTTAGGTATCATAACATATGTATGTAATAATATATCCAGTGCTTTTTAACATAAAATTGTGTGTTTCCAACGCAGCCAAATATATTTAATTGAAGCGAATAGCACACGTTCCGAGTTGTTCGAAAGCGGCTAGTAAACAACAAATTCAAACAAAATAAGGCATGTATGTGTAGGTAGGTAGATGCAACGCATGGAAATATTCGCTCTCAATATAAATAATTGACATCCTAAAACATGTGGCATAGTATTAAAGAAAACTGGAGTGCTTCCATACAAACGAAAAGAAGAGACAGTATTTTGGTTTCTTCTAACTACTTAATTAATGTTAATGGAAAATCATGTAGGAGAAGCGCAATGAATTTAAGCGGAATACGACGGGTATGGTGGATGTGTGCACAAAATTTATGTATGTATATGTATATGTATGTATTACGTATATGTTTTCGCAAAAAGGGCCTTGATTGTGGGAATTCAACAGACGGACAACAAACTCCTTTGTAAGCAAGTCGAAAATGTACAAATGTATGATGTGAAACGTGGAAAATGGCACGGCACTGTGTCAACGCCGAACTAATATATAAAACTAACTTTGACCTACAATTTATTTTTCGTTTACCGACAAATTTACATATTTAGTAAATTATTTGAAATATGTAATTAAAATCATTAAAATACTTTAGCGAATAATTTTTATCTTAAATCGAATTCTACACCAATACCAACCAAATATAAAAATAATTGTGTTAAAAACAAAATTAGTACAATAAACAAACACAAACATGTAAGAAAATGTGTATACAATTTGCCAAACGAAATACGAAATAATAAATGTTTTAAAATGGTAGTTAAAAATTTGGTAGCAAGTAATCACAGCTGTGGGTTAAAGCACAATAACAAGATAAAAATACTTTCAACTTGCACAATAAATAAATTTTAAACAAAACTAACTAAATAAGAAAGTAAGAGAAAGAAAGTGGAAGTGGAAGTGGGCTGCATTGCACATTGCATTGCTATTTTCAGCAAGTATTTTTAAAAAATAAACATACATATGTATACAAATGTATGCGTGTATTAGATATGTATGTATATAAGGTTTCTTTTACTTGAGCAATATACCCTCTTCTTCACTTCGCATCTTACATGCTGCTCCATCAAATGATAAAATTATCAAAATCAAAATTAATTTGCTTGTTTTTTATTCTCATTTCTAACGCAAACTCTCTTGTATTTTGTTATGTCTACTCGTTATTTAAGATTTTACTGTTATACATACAGCAATAGCAGCTTCTTTGAGCACGACTAATAAAGCTTTGCAACTCCTAATTTCGTTTTATCGATAAAAGAAATTATCAATTACTCTTATTTATTATGGGCAATTTTCAAATATCTAAGTAATCAAATTAAAGATATGTATGTATACATATGTATGTACGTACATACACATATGGATGTTTAAGTAAGTAAATACAGATACGTTTTGATTGCCTGTATTGTATAAATGAAATAAAAAAATAATAATAAAATAATAAAACCTTTTACGAAAGGAACGTTCCAGTATTCATTGCTCTTGTTGGCTTGTTTTGCACTACATAGTATGTATCTACTGTTTCCGCGTAATCGTTTCATAGAACAATATTTTGAAACTAATGACTTTTTAGAAATCTTTATCATTCAATCTTTGGCATTTTATCTGTCGTGCTCTTTTTAGCTTTCTTTGCTTTTTCATTTGTTTGCTTTGATATATTATTACTCTAGCTCACCTTGTGGATCCCGTTGCTGTGTTTCTTGAGGTGCCAGTAATAGTTCGTCCTGAGATCTGTCATGTTGCCATGGTGCATATCCTTTAAATGAGAAATGAGAAATTGTTTTGAAATGCATTATATTTTTTGCAAATTAGTATTTACGCCTGCATACATACATATATACATGTATTTACATAAGGGTGGTCGAAGTTTATTCAGCCACCCCCCGTAACTGAAAAAAATATCGAAAATAAGTAGACCCGTGTTTTTTATTTTGAATTTTTCCATACATAAATTTTACATGAGGAAAATAGATATTTTCGTAAAGTTGTTAATAGAAGTATTTTTGGCTGAAATAAGATTATTCCCTTCAGATATCTTCAAAACAGAAAATTATAATGAATATTTAACTTTAACTTTTTTACTGAATCCCTTTTCATAACCAAATGTGCTATTTTACGTGTTCGAAAAAATAGTTGTTACCATTTTAAAGTTAAATAATAAAGTATAAATTTTTGAGGGGAATATTATATTCGATTAAAAAATATTTATTTTCAGGGACATAACAGTTATAAGTTTTATAGCAAAAACGTTGCCTCATAACAGTTATTAGATGAGAAATACTTTTTATTTCGTCGATAAGAGTTATAACCCAACGTTTATTTTGTACGTTGCCTGATAACTGTTATGCAGGAGAAATATTTTTTCCGTTGCCGATAAGAGTTATTTCCCAACGTTTATTTTTTACGTTGTCTGATAAACGTTGTAAGATTAGGCTATTGATGAGGATGGAGATGGAGAATAAGATAAAGACGATGAAATAAAAGTGAGAGAGTGAAATAACTACTATCAGATAACGTAAAAATATTCGTCGGGCAATAACTCTTTTCAAGCAACGTAAAAAATAAACGTTGGGCAATAACCGTTATCGAGCAACGTAAAAAATAAACGTTGGGAAATAACTCTTTTTATCAGCAACGGAAAAAATATTCCTCATCTATTAACTATTATGAAAAAACGTTTTCGTTAAATTTCAGAATTCAGGCAACGTTTTCAATTTGTAAATTCGAGATAACAGTTATGCATGCAATTCGAATTCTCTCATTTTTATGTTAAAAAAAAGCATAGTATTTTTGTAGATTGTGCTCTCCAGGCATGACAATTTGCGCAAATCGGTTGACTTTGATGGGCATATCAAAATCGCTTCCTTTTTCAGTAACGTCCGAACGTAAATTTCGAAGGCAAATACACCGTTCATTAGCTCAAATTCAAATTTCCATTATTTTGTTCTCATAAGTACTGCTATAAACCTTCCCTTATAACACAAAAAATTTTCAACTTATAATATTTTTGTCGGCAAAAAAAAAAGTTAAAAGAAACGTTCGTAACGCTAAGATTTACCCAACTGGAAAACTTCAAAGCCCCGGCGGCACGGTTAAATAAAAATTAATAAGGGTCTCCTTATTTTCGATATTCTTCAGTTCTGGGGTGTGGCAGCGGGAAAATGACCAAAATATTGATCTTCCTGTATATTTTTTGGACGACCTTATGTGCACACATATGAATGTGAAAATTTTCTAGGACATATAGACTGACTTCCAAACCGTCAATTGCAACTCTGCATATTCAAACTGTTTTAATACCGCAAAAGAACAGTATTCGAACATTGCATTGGTACGTTTTGGAAGTCAGCTTTAGTAAAAACACGTGGCGTCAACTTACCTTGACTAGATCCTTCGCCGGCTTGGCTTGTACCGGCATTTTGATCTAAATCCTCCATACCCATTTCCTCATCGTCTAGCGTCAGATCTTCAACAGTTTCCTCATTACCCTCTTCCTCATATTCACTTTTCGGTTCGATTACTAATTCGGCAGTTTCTTTACCAGCAACACCAGCTGTCGACGACTTTTGTTTGTGATTCGATTTATCACCCTTAAGATGCTCGACATTTTGTTCGTCTCCAGTACCTGCTACACCCACAGCCTGTATATTTTCTGTATTAATGGCATCGTTTACTCCTTTAACGCTTTCAGTCTTTTTGGTAATGTTTGTGGTCATTTGCTGAGTACTGCCTTGTGTGACAGCAATTGACCCAGTTGCTGCTAAAACACCACTTGAACCGCTTGATAGGGTGGATGCCGAGACTGGAAGTGAAGAGGTGGCTGCCATAATGGCCCCAACCCCAGTTACACTTGCATTGGTTTGTGGTTGTTGTTGTTGTTGCTGTGGCTGAAGTGACGATTGATTGATTTGAGAAGAGTTGGAATTGTCATGAACTTCTGCTGCAATTCGAGAGTTAAACGTTTATATTAAACTTCGGGGTGTTGATTCACAATACGGATAATAATGTCGAACAAAGATACGACTAAATAATCATAGTCATAGTGGCCCCAATATTACTTACCAGACATTGCATTTTCAACACTCCTGCGTCTAACTTTCCTTCGGCGCCTAGAAGGACTAGAAGAGCCCTCTCGGGAGCCTGATATATCTGTAGGCTCCATTGGTGAGGGTCCAACGCGAGGACGTTTGGATTGCGTCTGCTCGAGTGTATATCCGCTCAATTTACCGCCGCTACCACTTCCAGGTACATTTAAACTGCGATGTTGTTCTGTTTTCGGCGTGCTACCACTGCGGTTATCTGATAGACCTTTTATTTGCAATGATTCAGCGGCCTTTAACAGCGCAGCTAACTGATCCTGTGAAATATTCACTTCTCCACGGTACATGTAGTCCATCATGGCACGCAGTTCTTGGTATTTTACATCCTTCAAAATAAATATTGGATGCTTATCGTACTGCTGTTGCAGTAATGTCTGAAATTACAAAAACGCACATACATATGTATGTATTTTAATAACTAATATATAAAAGTAATAAGACATAATTATGAAATTTACTTACGGCGAAAAACGGACTACATGCTGATAGTACCACTTTATGGGCTTTGAGGAATTTTCCCTCTGCAGCTAATGTGCAGTCCACGAGCGTTTGATTCTCTAATAGGGTATCAAACACACTAATCAGAGTACTCTGGTGATTGTTCCATCGCAGACAGAACTGCTGATCGTCCTCCATGGTGCCAACTGACAGCGATGGTCCCACGAGGATTTAATTATGACGCCAATGTTAGAGCAGTGTCAATTGGTTTAGGGCAATTTAAAGTGTTCTTTATGTTTAGCGACAACAGATGTAGATAGGAAATAGTCCTTAAATATATTTTTGAGTTTGCACAATCTTAAAATAGCAATGGTATGTATCTGAAAGAGTGAAGAATAACAAGAGATACTTCAGTAAATTATATTATGAATAAAAGTAAATAAAGTTCAAAATCTGTACAATATTTATAGTAATAATATATTATATGTAAACTCTGAATAGCATAACAGTAAATTTCTAAAATACCAAAAAATAGGGCGGTATTGTCACTTGCGAAGCGAATGAATTTGGCGAAGCGAATGGATTGGCGGACGCAACTTAAATATGCATTAAGTGTTCGCTTTTAACAGCTTGTGAGAGTTCTTCGCATCGCGCACACTTTTAATACCTTCTGCCTTTTAATTCACTTCGCTAAACCGTTCGCTTCGCCAAAATCATTCGCTTCGCAAGTGACAATACCACCCATAATTAATGCCGGCACTCGATCCGGAACACAATTAGTAAAATATGTAGGGCTCAAATTTTCTGAAGTGTTATGCAATTTCTGACATTTAAATATTTCNGTTTTACCGCAGTTATTTCGAAAAAGCGTTGAGCACAAACCAAAATGAATATAAACAAAATAGCTGATTGAGGATTGCCCAGCACAATGCGCAAAGTTGCGCTACAAAATTGCCGCGCAAAGGTTTCCTTTTTGTGCAAATGGCTTTCCATACAAATTTTGACATTTCATTTGCAAGGGTTTAAAATTGCACAGTTTTATTTGCCAAGGGTTCTTAAACGCCTTGATGCCAGTGAGTCATTCGCTATCGTATGCTGCAAATGCCGCAAGCCAGCCTTTCGAAATAAGCTACTATCCCAAACGAACACAGAAATGAAGAGACGAAGCAAGGCGAATTTATACAAGGTGGTGTTAACAGAAGAAAAACAAAAATTGCAACAACAAATTATACGCTCCTTGACAATCAGTACAAAGCCAAATTACAACAAACACATGAATATTGACAAAAGGTACGAATTCGCCGTGAAATCAGCGGATCCGATAACACCACCTTGTATAGATCCGCCTTGAGACGAAGTGAAGGCTTCCAAAGTGAAGTCAAAAACTTCAATTGAAATGACAGCGGCAGCACTGCTTTCAACTATGTATCATTCTTGTTGTTTGACAAGTAGCTTCTCATTTCGCAGAACTCTTCAGAGTAGCATCGTTTATTTTGGTGGAAAATATAAATTTAGCCTGAAAAGCTCGAACCTTCTTTTTTGGCGACATTTTACAAATGAAAAAGTATGCAGTCAAAAGCCCAGTCAACAAAACTATCTCTAAAATGTGTCGTCACGCAAGCGAGATTTTCCAGCACGTGAAGACGGCCGGTAAGGTAATTCACGGTGCCGTAGGAAAACCGTAAACGTATATTTCAAACGCATTCCTTTTATTCCGGTTGTGAAATGGGATTATCATAAGTTATGAAAACAAATTCTATAGGACTGAGAAATATTATTTTCCACTTTTTAGTCCATTTATAAAAACGTTGTATATTAAGAAGTTTTTTTTTATTACCATTCTACTTTTTAGTCTTGTATGTATACAATTTTGCTAAATTCAACGATATTAATAGATTGGTGAACGCAGATGCATATAAGTATGGTACATACATCCATACGAGCATCAATTAATTTCATTTAAAGAAATGGCGAGTCGTCCATTTCAGCTGTAGCGTATATCGAGCATATTTTTAGGCGCAATATATAACTACTTGCGGCGAGGCGACATCTACCTCTAGGGTTTTGAAGCGAGGTGGATATCTCGACTGTACCTGTAGCGTGTTTTTTTAATATAACAATATTTTTAGTGAATTTTTTTTTTTTTTTTAACAAAATGGCCTGATAACCAACTTTGGATAATTTTTTTTATTTAAAAATCTTACGGCTTCTTTTGGGTTCTATTCCACTTCAAACTGCTCAGTTTGCCTCGATAAATGCCGTTTTTCCCCCATATTCAAACGGTTCCCTAGGGGCGGAGCTCCCGAAGGGGGCTGAGATTTTTCGTATAGTGGGGACTGTCCCCTTTCGAATGGGGGCGGTTTAGGGTGTCATGCCACCTCCCCTCCTTCCCCCACCCTCAAAACCGTGGGCTAACAACTAAACATTTTCCGAAAATTTATCGTTATTTATCGAGGTATCGACTTTTATAAAAAAAAACGCGCCGCAGCCGAAAATTTGTAATAAAAAATTACGCGATTTTTTACTACAAATTGTCGATATATATATATATATCGATATGAATATTACAATTTTACTCATAGCTCCTTTTTGTCTTAGCCGCACTTCAATAAAAAACCCTTAATTGTAGGGCATTTACTTTTAAAACGTATGGCAGCACACATTTGCTCTTACTGTCAGTCATTGATATTACCATTTGTTTGTGAAAAGTGCTTAAATTTGTAAACACATGTATAAGCGCGTTTTACTTAAGTAATTTATTAATAAAAAGTACTATATAAGCACGTGAACATTGCAAATATAGTATATCAGGCAAAAAAATACGTGATAAGTGGAATTTTGTATAAAAATTTGGTGGTAGAAGTCGAGATAATTTAACAACAAATTGCTTAAATACTATTAGCAACTGCATTTTGGGAGTAATCAATTCAGATAAAGAAGGCCTCCCCCAACATCCTCACCAAATTACATGACGAAATCCCTTATACTTTCGCTGGAATTTCGAATGGTTCCGTTTTAGAAATCCAACCCAAAAGCTGCTTTTAAATTTGGAGTCTACTTTATTTTGACTAGGTATATACTACAGGGTCATTGCTTTAATTATCGGGCCACCAGTGTAGATATATATGCATGTAATACGTGCATATGTTTGTAAACATACATGTTTATATACATACATATATACATATGTTTATATACATATGTTTATATATACATATATACATGTTTATATATCCATATATACATATGTTTATATACATACATATACAGGGTGTCCCAGAAGTAACGTACCAAACTTTAGGGGAAGGTAGGTGGGGGGGTAAAATCTATTAAATACATTCTAGCGTGTCTCAGTCCTTTACCCCCAAAGCGGCTATAACTTTTTTTTTCTATTCGAAATAGTAAGAGTGGCACCTTTCTGAAATATTTATTAAATGAGAAATTTTTTTTTTAATGTAAAGTTATAGCTCAGTACATTTTTTTTCACCAGAGANGTCCTAATTTTATGATGGTTCCTTAATATATTTTAACTACATTGCATTTGAGTATGGAGAGGCAACTATCTGGAAGTATTTTACATAAAAAATTTACTAAGTATTGCCCGGTTTGTAGTTGCAGTTAAAGAAAACACATGAAAAGGCACGATTTTTTTTAAATTCGAAAAAATGTAAATATTTCAAAAACGGTGACACTTTTACCTGAAAATTTTTTGTTTATCAGGGAGCTCACCCCCCGTCGCCCCCTTCCTTCCCCAAAAGTTTGGCACGTTACTTCTGGGACACCCTGTATACATATGTTTATATACATACATATATACATATGTTTATATACATACATATATATACATATGTTTATATACATACATATATATACATATGTTTATATACATACATATATACATATGTGTATATACATACATATATACATATATACCTATATACATACATAAATATGCATGCATATAACTTTATATATAAACCGTGAAGATTACTGTCGCGTTTCAGCTGTACATATCTACATACTTTCCCTACAACTAATAAAGAAAATATGCTAAATGTCAAAAATAGAAACCATGAAATCTAAAATCGCCAAAAGGACAAACTTGTGCTTAGCAGTTCGTATGTATACCATAATTTCATGTTGTGGGAACAGAAGAAAAATTCGAACAAAATGGAAGCACCGTTAATATGAATGTGGGGATAAATTACTACTACCACCGTTAACAACTCAAATACGACCTACACAACAACAACTAGCATAGATTAAACAACAACCAACATGACTCGACTTCGCTGCTGTCACCACCGCGCAAAATTATCGTTCGGCTTCACGCCCGACGTTGCAGATCGTAGCGTACAGTTTTCGCTCGTTACTTTTCCTCCCCAGCAGTGTTGCCGTCCCAACATTTATTCTCATCGCTAGGCTGTTTTTCGATTGTTTGCCATTGACGCCCGTTTTGCGCTTTCGTAAAGAAAATTAACAAACTTGCTATGCAAAGTGTTTTCCAAGCCACACAACTGTAGTTAAGAAGAGTATGTATATGTATTATTTATGTGCCCACGCAAGCACTTTAAAATTTACACATATTCAGTTAGAACAGATCATCGCTGCAGATTCTAATAAATTTTCTCTAAAATTACTTGTATGCGCATACATAAGTACATATGTATGTATATGCAAGTGTGTATGTCGATGCATACATATTTCGTTAAATAATCCAGCAATGAAAAACACACGTCCTTCAAAGTCTCAAGCAAAGCAGAAAAACTGCTATGCGTTTTCACGTATGTATACACACACAAATAGGCCAATGCACATATTTACATACATGCATACATACATACATACATATGTACACGAATTAGTTGGCATAATTTCACTTGATTTCCATCTACACTCCACGTTGTACTTTTCGATATTATGTTCATGGATGTATGTACATACATAAGTATATATACACATATATTTGTGCTAATGATTATGTATGTATGTGCATACTAATGTTAAGTATAGTTTGTAATACAAATGCTTTTATCAGTGCATATTCGCTTATCAAAAACTCACACAGCACACATTTATTTATTTATAACATGTATTAATGTTAAAAACTCACATTTTCCAGACTTCAACTTTATTTTTTTTCGTCAAAACAACCGCGAAAATGAAGCAGACACAAACAAAAGCTCCAACAGTCTAAACTCAACTGGCGCATCCCGAACTACACTCGACAAACGAGAGGTATGCAGACCAGCTATAGCCGACGCCATTAATAACGAGTTTGCCGTTGCCGTTGCCCCTCAATTTCTCAGCTCTACGTGCGAAACATATTAAGGGAAATCATAGATTCTCTCCAACTGAAACAACATACCCAGTCGGAGAA